TGATCGAGACTGAGCCTTGTGGCGTGCGCCTGTAATCCCAGCACTTGGGAGGCTGAAAACAGGAGGATCACTGCAAGTCTGATGTGCGTAGTGAGACCCTGTAGACACTATTAAATACATTTTAAAAAAGAAAAGAAAGGTTTGTGCTAATATTGTTTGGACAATTAAATGTCAATATCTTGGATTACGAATAATTAATTTAGACATAACCATACACAATGTATTAACCATTGTTACTCTACTATTACCTAGTTTTGAAATTTTGTTTTTCTTTAAAATAAAAAAGTATATCAATAAAATTATGGAAAAAAGATTTAAAAAAGGAAAAAATAAATAAAAATAAATAGAAATGAAAAAGTAGGGGGGCCTGCCCCTTAGTTCAGTTCCTTAAGTGGCTGCTTCAACAAAGCAGTCAGGCTCAGGTTGCTGTGGTTCGATTCCCACAACTCAAGCCAGCCAAACCTGACCTGAAGGCATTCGGAGCAAAAAATAAATAAAATAAAAAAGTAGGGCCAGTGACATAGGTCAGCAGACTAAGCACCTGCTTAGGCAAGCACAGGGACCAGGTTCGATCCCCAGCACCACATGCTGAGCCGGCCCCACCCCTGGGCACGTTGAGCTGACCACCGAGACTGGGTATGGTGGTGCACACCTATAATACCAGCGCTGGGGAGACTGAAAACAGGAGGATCGCTATGAGTTCGAGCTTTGTAGTGAGACCCTGTATCAAATACATAAAATAATTAATTAATTAAAATAAAAAACAAAATGTAGGAGCCAAATGATGGGGGAAAGTATTATTTAATAATAAAAAAAAATCTGAACAATTACTTGCGCCATTCCAGAAGAATTATATTACATTTTTTACATATTTTAAAGAATTTTGGGGGGCTGGGGAGATAGCTCAGTAGAATAAGTGCTTGCCTGGCAAGTGCAAGGTCCTGAGTTTAATCCCCTGCCCTGAAGGAAAAAAAAAAAAAAAAGAATTTTATGTGAAAGGACTAAAAGCAAAGAGAGAAAATAAAAAACTCAGAACATCTGACTCTGTGACAGAAAAACAAAACATGCCTTCTTAAGCATCTAAAGGAATCATGAAAGGGAGCAAAAATAAAGAGATTTCACCACACATTTAAAATATCAGGAGCTGGGCCGGGGAGATGGCTCAATATAATAAGCACTTGCCTGGCAAACACAAAGGCCTGAGTTCAATCCCTGGTCCCACGAGAAAAAAAAAAAGAAAGAAAGAAGAAAAGAAAAAAATCAGGAGATGGGGAGATAGCTCAGTGGCATAAGCACCTGCCTGGCAAGCACCATGTCCTGAATTCAATCCCCTGTACAGCAAAATAAATAAATAAAATTAAGATAAAAAATAGAACATCCAAGGGACCAGGGAGATGGCTCAGTGGAATAAGCGCTTCCCTGGCAAG